GTTGACAGGCACAACGCCGAATGCCTAACTACGTTGTGGACAGGGCATGGGATGAACGACGAGGGGGTGAACCTCCCCTAACCTAGACATCCGAACCTTACCGATCCAAACTTAAACCTACTCCCTAAGATGGCGCGGATGGTGACCAATGGGCATCGTGTCTGATTGAATGTATGACATTCAGCCTTGATAGGCTATTCGTCCCCTCCATTGGCAGCTTCGCCGCCCAAAATGGCCGCCGTAACATGAAGTTACTCCAATCGAAGCACTAGTCCGCCAGTTACCACTCACCCTCGACCCTTCGTTGAGTCCATAAATTCTCGACTTCCTACTGTTCAATTGTACCTTCTTCCCGTTCCCGGTCTTTACGAAATTGCACGATATTACGAAATTTGGTCGTAAGTTTTTTAAGTACTGTCCCACCTACCAAGTTATTCTTTACTAGTCCGCTCGGGTATATATCTATTTCGATTAGATAATCTATATATAAAACTATAGGTTAGTTGCCCCTCACCTCGGCTAGAGTGCAGAAGCTGCAAGTTATGTATAACAGTCTGTATCTTTTGATAAGCTGATCTAAGGGCGGACTGGAATCTATCTAGTACTCGGTTAAATATCGCCTCGGTCTTATTAAACTTACCTTGATTCCTGTAGAGAAGCCCTAGGCTATTAACAGACTTAAGAGTTAATATATAGTAATATCTAAGTACTTTCTCTAAGCCTTCCAGGGCTTAGTTATATATAGCCTCAGCCTTATTAAGCTTACCTTAGTTCCAGTAGAGAATCCCTAGGTTATAGATAGTATTAAGAGTTAATATATAGTTATATCTAAATTCCTTCTCTCTGCTTTCTAGTACTTAATTAAGTATTACCTTAGCTTTACCGAGCTTATCTTAGTTTAAATAGAGAACCTCTAGGTTATTAATAGCCTTAAGAGTTAATATATAGTTATATCTAAGTACCTTCTTAAAGCCTTCTAGTACTTAGTTATATATAGCCTTAGTCTTATTAAGCTTACCTTAGTTTAAATAGAGATTCCCTAGGTTATAGATAGTCTTAGGGGTTAATATATAGTTATATCTAAGTAACTTCTCCCAGCCTTCCAGAGCTTAATTAAGTATTACCTTAGCTTTACTAAGCTTATCCTAGTTTATATAGAGAATCCCTAGGTTATTAATAGTATTAAGAGTTAATATATATTTATATCTAAGTACCTTCTTATAGCCCTCTAGTACTCAGCTATATATTATCTTAGCTTCGCCGAGCTTACCTTAGTCTCTATATAAAATCCTAAGATTATAAACTAAGCCTATTATAATACTATTACTAATAGTTTTTTTATCTAATTATAAGAAGTTCTCTTATATCTACTAAGAATATTACTCTATATAGAGAAGGATCCTCTACTATAGAATCTAATATTCTTTTATCCCTTATATTAGTACTAAATAACTAACTAATATTAGTATCAGACGGGTAAAATCTATATTCTTCTTACTGTTATCTAGATATAGTACCTATCAGTATACTACCGGGTATATAGTATAACTTCCTCTGGGTTCTGCTTAGGCCTGGATTATCGAATAGCAGAGTAAAAGACCTATTATATCTATAAAACAGGCTATATTATTTACTATATAAAGCAGCTAAGATAGCTATAGCTCCTCAGAGTCTATAGATTTAGCTATTTTAAGTAAGCTATACTAAAACTGCTTATTATCAAGGTATACTTATAGCTATAATATATTTATAGTATCCGTACTCCTACTTTTAATTACCTCAAGAGATACTGCCTATATAGTAGTAATACTTCCTTGGTTATAGTCTATCAGAGGATTATCAGATCCTATAAGCTTTTACTATTATTTATTATAGATCTGGATATAGGTTATAATATCTATACCTGTCTTGCGCAGGTATGATATAGCGATATACTTGATCGTATAGCTGGGAGATTGATTATATATCTATAGGTTTGGTCGCATATTAATAGGTTTGGTCGCATATTAATAGGTTTAGTCGCATGTCGATAGGTTTGGTCACATGTCGATAGGCTTGATCGCATGTCGATAGGTTTGGTCGCATATCAATAGGTTTGGTTATATATCGATAGGCTTGATCGCATGTCGATAGGCTTGATCGTATGTCTACGTGCTTTATCACATGTCTATAGGTCTGATTGCATGTCTACAAGCTTGATCGCATGTCTACGAGCTTAATCACATGTCTACATATTTTCTGTTTATGATATTGTTGATCTTATAAATTCTGTCAGTGAAAAACTATTCCGGCCCACCGGAAGATTATCTACTTCTCTTGGTCCTTTTCCGAACTCGGGTAGAGTTCTCAGCACCTCGAGTTAAAGGGCTGTTTCTCTTCTGACTGTAAGCTCCAACGCCGTCCCTATCAGTGGGCTTCGCGCCACCAGCTTCGACTGAACCACTTTCGGCTTCACCATTCATCTTCCGCATGGACCACTCCGTTTGTGACTGTTCCGGGAGGGAAACCTGTTATGGCTGTACCAGGAGCGACCCCGGGGTCGCCATTAAGCGTTGAGGGACCAGTATTGGTTACGGTCATACCACCAATGACAGCGAAAGTAATAGCAGTCCCAAGATCCACCTGGGCATTGATGATGCCAGCAAATGCAAGGGCTGATCCAAGGAGGTATAGTAAGAGCATAGTGGCAAGGTTGAATAATAAATGAGCGTGGAAGAAGTAGGAATATAAAGACTTAGGGGATTCGTATTAACTATGTTAAGGGCCGGATTTGAGACATCGCACGCCAGCTACTTTGAATCCTCATGCTCAGACCCCAGAATTCCAAAGCTGTGTGACCGTAAGGACATCAACCCATGCCCCGCACTGAGTCCAATAGATCGCAGTGTTGTGTGTCAGACTCACGTCATATGTCATAGTTGTACTCATAGGGCCGATGAGAATCACGATACTTACTGGAATGTGGCCCATCCGCGCCGTTGGGTTGCCGTAAGCTTGTGTAAGACCACAATGCGACACTCTGAAGTAACGTCCATCTCACAACTAAGCAAGCTACTCCCTAGGGCATCTCCAGTAGTAAACTAAAGCCGTGATTCGATAGCATTGGTAGAAGCCGACGGTTGTCTCAGTCATAAACTCCTCGCTTACTTGCTACTCACATTCCTTGGTAAGTTGATCCTGAGACCCCTCACCGTATCTGGGCAAGGGAGGCTTTTGAATCTCTAAGCATTACTGTTCTCTGAATATAAAACCGCTTCTGTTTCCCAATTCAAAAGCAAATCATACTTATAACAAACTCAAGCATTAAACCGAATTAACTTGCTTACAAACCTGTTCGACTTTCTTTGCCCACCATGCAGTTCTCAATGTTGGCCTTGTTCAGTCTTGCGACTTTGGTTGCTGCCGACAAAAGACCAAATGTTCGGCACTGTCCACCAACGTACCAGAGTTCAGCACTAATTTGCGATTGATACAGGTCTCTGTCTTTTCTCAGCCCTTCTACAAAGGCTTCTCATCTGATGTTGATATCGATGGGAGGTGTCACAATCTTCGTCTGAGGGAGTTGTTAGTGATAACTTTTATTCTTTCCCAAGCCAGGTGATATGACTGACGAGCATGAAATAGGCAGAATAACGTTCGGTCAATCGAGATTCCGGACTCGATTAGTGCCTACACTATTGAGTGTAAGGGCTACAGGTGAGTGACTAGTAGCCGAATCTCTAGGTGAATAAGACGGTAACCTTCGATAAGGAACTGGGACTGCAGGAACAAAGCTTGGGAATTCTCCAAGAGCCAGAAGAAAATTCAAGACTCCGACGTTACTGCCGTGAGGTGCACCAAGAGGCCCTTTGTTTAATGGTGGATTTGAAGTAGAGACCCTATCACTAGATGATGTCCTAGAGACAATGTGATTCGAGCAAGACATTGTGTTGTTTTATGGTATCTTGGGAGCTGCTTCAACTACTAGAGCCTTGAACCCAGACTCTATTTTAACCAGGAAATGCTTGTAATACATCTCGCAAGTGACATTCTAATAGCCGCTTGAAAAGAACCCTATGTTCGTAGCTACTAAATAGTTGTGTTAAAACGGTTGCCTGTAGCAGATACTAATTCCCACGGCTGACATCTCAGTATCCCCGACAGTTAAAACCAGGCCGTAATATGATATAGGTGGGGAGCGGCCAGCACATCCCCGATTCCCCATCACCGTGTGATGGCCCTTTAGCTACTCCGCCAAAGTATAACTCCCAAGCTTTACACAAACATTACAGCGCATATCTATTTCAATATTTATTTTTTTCTTTTTGTAGAACCATTGCATCTACACACTCTGTGGAACAGATGACAGCTCTATCGCAGAGATTGCGAGCGAGACGAAGCTGATCGATCACAGCCAACGACCTTGAAGCTGCGTCTCTCGATGTGAATGAACTCGCTGGATTCCCTGTTCCCGAAAAATCAAGGCTATAGCAAAATATGAACGAAAGAGAGACAGGTTTGTGACAAGGTGATGTACACAATGCCGGCGGGGGTTAAAGACTCCATGGCCCAGTTGATTTCCCCAGCGGGATTATCAATCTTATCAATCGTGGGGCGGCTGAAGCCATCTCCGGTTACAGTCGCTGATGTCCTCCAGATAGTTGAGTATAATAAGACGGGGCTGGCTATAGGAGACCACCTCTCCTAGCTAGTGTAATATACTTGCATATAAATAGGCTAGTTATAAACAGAGATAATTAAAAGATCACTAGTTATTATATTATATAAAGTGCTATATATTGCACCTTTTAGCCTAGAAAGATAATATTGTATATATGACTGCTAGTTATATATCCACCTAGGCCCCCTCTTGCCTGCACAGTTGCTTCCAACTCCACAATCCCCAACTCCATGTAAATCTAAATATAAAATAAAACTTCTTAGCAATAGAAGAAACGAATCAGCGGAAGCCATAGCCCTCATACAGTTTCCGCCTTGCAGCAATAACCTACAATCTAGCATCACCTGGTCTTGGTCGCCTTCCTCCTAGAAGAGCAAGTGCACTTCAGGGTGTTGGCGTTCCACGTCCGTCCCTTGATCTTGCAGACGCACTGCCAGTTCTTCAAGGTCGCATCGGGACCGCAGTCCACTTCGCACCTGCCGTCCTTGGCATAGGCCGCGGTTCCGCAGCCAAGTAGCTGGCAGTTTCCGTCGACAACGATCTGGTTCGCGGGGCAGTGGCACTTGAGATCATTGGGGTTTCAGGACTGGCGTGGCACGTTGCAGATACAGTGGCCGTTGTCGAGAGTGGCCTCGGGCCCGCAGTCGAGCTGGCATTTGCCGTCTACGGGAGTCTTCCCCCAGGGGCAGTTACACGCCATGGTCTGCTGGGTGAACAGAGCGCCGCTTACGTTGCATTCGCACTGGCCGCTCTCATCGGCAAAGGAATCCTTGCCGCAATTAAGCTGGGGCTCGCATCGGCTGTTGACAACGACCTCATCGGCGGGACAGGAGCACGTTGATGTGTCGGCGTTCCATGACTGGCCCTCAACCTTGCACACACAGTTGCCATTCTCCAGGTCAGCCTCGTCGCCGCAGTTGAGCTGACACTCTCCGTCAACAGGGCAGTAGCAAATCTTGCCCTATGGACGGAAAACGGCGCCCAAGATCTTGCATTCGCACTGGCCAGTCGCGTTTGGGATAGCATCCTCGCCGCAATCAGGCTTCGGCTGGCACTCGTTGTTGACAACAACTGATCGGCGGGACAGGAGCACGTTAAGGTGTTGGCGTTCCATGACTGACGTAATAGGCTTTTTGACCACTAAAGCCTGGCATTGCCTCATTGCGTGGGCTGAAATACTGACCAAAAAAAAGTGTATCTGTTATTTCAACCTTCTGACGTATTCCTTCCCCGCTTGACCCTTCCCTTAAGTTGGACCCTTTTCTGTTCAATATCTTGTCTCTTCCCAGGCCGGGTCCCAACACAGGCATTATGGGCAAGAATAGGTGGCACGCAAGCTTCAGCCGAGCCATAGGTAGTAGACAAAGATTTCGATTGGGATGGGCAATACATCTGTCCAACTCCGAGAAGTAGATCATTCCGAGGATCAACACTGCAAAAACCACGGGAGGCAATCCTCCGAAGCTATGCAATACGGCAAGAGCAGACGGTTCAGGGAGCATAGTGACTGTCTTACTTCCATGTCAAGCTGAGAAGATGTAACGCAATTCGGATGGTTCATTCCGGCCGAATGCTTTATCAAACTCGCTTATTGTCAGATGCTTTGGGATAGGCACTTTTCCGCTAAACGAAAGACTAGGGTCTTTCAATCATTCTCCCTTTTGAGGGTGCACTACCTTTGCTGGGTGTGGCGTTGGACAGGGGATGTAGCCTTTTCACATTTCCGCGGGAAGGAGGGAAATGATAAGGAGAACCCTTACACATCATGTTAGACGCGGAAGAGTGATGGATAGACCCGTTTGCGATATGGTACAATCTCATAGGCCCCAGGGCTGAAATTCTGTGTTGACATACCAGACAAATATTTGTCTATGCATACATCCCTTTCTGGCATTAGCATCATAGCCAGTAGCTCCCTACTTCCTTGTCCATTGGCCAGCATTGAGCGATGAACTGGCTGGAGTCGTATGAAGATGTATCGCTTACATCGAATGGTGGCATGATGATATGATGAACAGAAATTCGATCCACCTTCAGCAATCCATGTGCAAGAATTCTGGGTAGATGTCTCAGGTTGGAATGAATCAAAGAAAAAGCAAATTGGTTGATAGATCAGTCACATGTACGCAGACATGGTTCTGGGACTTCAAAATGTGCAAAATCATACGATCTTTTGTAAAGGGAGGATAGTTGTTTTATTGGCGCCCCGATTCGGGAATACACCTAATGTACTCAGCTCTTAACCGATAATCGGTAAAACTTAAATATTTCTGATGTTGAGTCAGTCCATGACTGCTAAGTCGTCTCACTGTTCTGCTTGATACGCCGCATTCATATGAAGCTTTATTTTCAACACCTGAGACTAACCACCGCACTTGCAGTCCTATCAGCCGACACCTCTCAACTCAAGATTGGCGGCGTGACCATTCCTTACACCACAGGGCATGATGGACGTCTGGGTTGTCTTGAAGCCTGTGCAGCCGCATTCCGGCAGCAGAAGACAAATATACATGAGAAAATACTTATTGAATACAATTACTTGCAATCTGTGTCCCTCTACTTCGAGTCCGGAGTCAGGCGATAAGGATTTTATGCAGGGAGGGACGGCGAAAACTGTTATACATACATTGCTTGACGTTTACTTTCTTAAGTTTTCGGTACTATTAATAAGAAACCTATGGACTGCGGGAACACCTCGGATCAGATGAACGCAGCTGTTTGAATTTCCGAGGCCAGATTGTCATATTTGCTAGTCTAGACGTATCCTCATGTCTCGGTTCCGGTCCCCCGGAAAGGATTTAAACGAGATGGGCGACCGTTGAGAAATTGAGACAATTAGAGCAACTATAATGTCAACCTCCACAACATTCTGAGACATACCCTAGAAATAGTTCTTTCACGCAGTTGTTTCAGCACCGTTTTCTCCACGATGTACGAGCTAAGCCATGGCTAGACTCAAGTGGAAGTCAACACGTTTCTCCCCTCCCTCAGACACTAACATATACGACAGTACGCAGGGGCAAATAAGGGTGTAGTATGAATCGGAAATTTACACAACAGTGGTGGCTCACTGTTGTCTGCCTGACTTGTCATCTTAAATTTACCCCGATAAGAAGGCTAGTCACGAGAGAGCAAGCAGCAGAAGCCTTCATGGATCTTGAAGAGTTGAACTCTGGTGCCAATGAGCCTGTATGAACGCTGATGTCGAACCTTGGCCCTATCAGCATAGAGATACGTGGCGACGGAATTGTTGAAAAATCGATAGGAGCTTTGGGACCTCCCTAAGTGTTGTCGCCACCTGGTAGATACTGACCCCATGAATAACCAAGCCACCACATTGTCCGATCTTCTTCCCGGCGTAAACAGAATATGTACTCCCACCATAGCTTATAACCTCACAGATCGTAGACTTCATGCGACGGAAGTTCCAACACTTCTCTAGGCTCTAGTGGTAATGGATCAGGGCCCGCACCGGTAAGTCGGTAGAGATAGAAAAGAGATGAGGTTGCCGAACAGGAGAGTGGGATTTGCGAACAAGGAATTGGTTCATCTAGAAAGTAAGGTGTCTGTCTAGAATATTTGGTTTAAGAAATGCTTCCTCGTCGTTGTGCCTGCTTGGATTTGATCAAGTTTCAGGCCTGGTTGCAGGCTGAATGAATGGAAATGCTGATGAATACATATGAATTGGGAAACAATTATTATGAATTGTTCAATGAACTTGAAGATTTCACTGCGATTACAGATATAGCACGTAACGAACAGACACTTGCTCGTTGTAGTATCTTATCGGAGGAACCGGAAGTTCAATGATTCAATCAATTTGGGGGCCACGGCTGTTATCAGGAGAAATTACGCATAAGCGGTATGGTTGTTTCTGGTAAAATGTCTTAAGGGAATAAATAGCTTTTATAACGTTACATTGACCAACCGAGGTACGACTTTCAACCGATGAATTCGGGGAACAGGGATGTGTCGTTTACATATACCGACAAAAGACCACATTGAATTTAAAAAGGTCTTACCAACGGACCAAGGCAGCTTTAAGATGTACGTGTGGTACCTACTTACATTACTTTTATCGCCTGAGCGAAGAGACTTTACAGCCCCTTGGCCTCCGCCTTCAGTTCCATTTTATTTGCCGCTTTGCAAATTTATATTAGTTGCTTCCCAATCTTTGAGTGGGGTTTGGTATAAAGTAATTAGTGCTGTGAACTTCTGGATTTGGATGAGTCTCATGTCCCTGTTACAGGAGAAAGCAGACCTAGTGCCAGTGGCTGAAAAAGCAAAGAGCGCTCCCACAGTCTCGGAATAGGTCCGACTCCCCCTAGTATTAATCCCATGTGCACACTGTTTCACCGAGAATTCAATGAAACGTCAGCTGCCGATGATCACTGACTCGTTCTAGCCCGATTGATGCCGCGATGCTACGCAGCCTTGACATTGACGTATCGGAGGTTGAATGGAGCTTCACGTGAAACTCGTCAATTCTATCGAATATCCATGAACAAGGGGTGTGGCGTAGCTGGTGCCATAATTGAATACCTTAGTTTCTTTGTTTTTGGATACAATAGGGGACAAAGAAAGTACTACTGTGTTTTGACCGCATGTTTTTCCTCCCTTGAGTCCAAACCCAAAACCATCTTTAAAGTCGTAGAGGGATGTCGTTTCATCTGCAAATATTTTCCAATTTTTTTTAGTTTTTTTTTGTTCAACGAGATACACAGTAACAGAAACTATGGAGCAGCTTAACGGAACAAACGGCCAAACACATAACGGCAACACACCGAATGGGTGGAACGGCACCATTATGAAGTCCAAGGACACCTACGCACTGATGCGGGATTGCAACGCCAACTCCAGGTAAGAATCCGGATGACCAAAAAAAAGGCGATTTTCATTCTCTAATGTTGGTCTTAGACTTACAGCGCAACACTACCTTTGGAAGGAACTTCTTGGTTTCTTGACCCATCCAGACATTCCAGTCGGGGATGCCAACTTGAAAGTCGCTGATGTAGCTACTGGAAATGGGTATGATAGATGCAATTGAAGCTATTTTGGCGTTTAAGCTTACCAGGAGCTGCTAGAATTTGGCTCCATGACTTCGCTCGCGGCAAACCTTCATCGGTCCAGCTCCACGGGTTCGACATCAGCCTGGACCAAGTCGTGCCGCAACCCTGGCTACCGAACAACATACATATGCACACCTGGAGCATTTTCCACGAGCCACCATCTGAGTTCGTGGGGTACTTCGACGTTGTGCACGTTCGACTCATTACTGTCGTTGTGAAAAACAATGACCCCCGGCCCGTTCTCGCGAACTTGAGGAAACTTCTAAAGCCAGGCGGCTATTTACAATGGGACGAAGTTGATACAATCAATTGTTCGATCCAGACCATTCCGGGGATCTCGGGATCGAATCTCGACAAGCTTTTTTCCCAGCTCAAGGGGAATGATACGTAAGTTCCAGAAAATCACCACGGCTCAAGTATAATTGTACTAATAGTCATTCAAGTTGGAAAGGCCAGCTCACAGACATTATGAATGAAAATGGATACTCTGATTCGTGCCTCTACTCGTATTGGTATGGCCACTGCATGTCGCGTTTCTGGAGTGATGTGTAAGTTTCACCGAGCATCCCGAGAATGGCACCAGCCTGTGAGACACTGACCGAAAGTAATAAAAAAAAACAGGTACGTGAGCACCTGGAAGGAATTCGCGGACAATGCGCTCAAAACTCCCGAAGTGTCGCGGGAGCTGGAGGCCAAGGCGATGGAGGAAGCGAGAAGCGGGGCCGCGATATGGGTGCCGAAACTGGTTTGGGTTACGAGAACCACGCAAGACGGAACAGCTGAGAGAGAGTAAGGCGACAATCCATGGGTTCAGTTGAGGCCCGCTCGTGGGGGCGGCGATATTTCGGTGTCGATCAAACTCCTGACTGGGCGTCTTCCCCCTCCTGATTATGGTAGGAAGGTGTTTTATGCACCCACTCAGACATATTTTATCTTTCCGGATTCTAGGAACTCTTATGTGATGGCCAATATACAAATTCTACAAATTCCTTTTTGTCTAAGTGTTATATTGAATACGAAGGAAATTCCTTTAGCGTGTTGACTAGGCATTAATTCTCCTCACGGCGATATTCATGATAAACTGCATTTTATTCACATCTAGTACGATGACAGGCTAGTGATGCTGATAATGAATCTTCTACCTATTTCTCAAGAATTTACAATTCAGTGAATCCCTTGGTTGACTTGATAATCTGCTCAGCCAGGGCTTGAGGCTGGCTAATGAACGGCATGTGACCCGTTTTGAAGTCGACCACATCCCATTTGACCTTGGACTTTTCAAGCCACTGGTCTTGCAGGAAAGCCGGGTTGCAACAATCTTCAGTGGTGCGCACATAGGTCCTCCTCCCGTCAAAGCCATCGTCAGCCCAGCCTGGGGCTGTGGGCTTCGTCTCAAAGGCCAGGTGGGCGTGGGGCTGCATTGATGCTTCTAACTCGGGGGCGAGAGAAGGATCACAGTCGTTATACAGAACTTCCATGGCAGGCTCGATAAGAGCGAGACCCTTAGACGGCTAGAGTACATTCTTGTTGGCAACGTTAAATTTAGGTGGTATGCAGAAAGCTGTTACTTACTTTGCTTGTCTTGATGAAGGGAGGGTAAGCCCCACCTACTGCCTCAAGGAGGGATTCTCCCTCCAAAGTGATGTTGCCCGCCACGTAGATCAGCCCGATGACAGAGCCAGACAGGCCTTGGGCCCGCCGGGTCTTCTTATCAAGACCCTTTGCAGCGGCACCACCGACAACACCACCATAGGAGTGGGCAAGGACGACAACATCCTTTGATTGTTTTATTAGAGGGAGGAGAACATTGTCACGAAGTGAAGTGATATCACCTAGACAGGTTGCTGTGGATGGGCTAGCGGGATTGCAACTTGGGTATGCACCCGGATGGGTTGATAGCCCAGCATCTTTGAGATATGGGAGGAGCTTGTCGAATCCCGACGGAGTGCCGAAGGCACCCGGAACGACGAGAATCACTGGGGACTTTGCCGATGCCATACTGCTCATCTGTCGAAATTTTGGAAGTTTTAGGCGGTAGAAAGGTGAGATACACAAGCTGACCTTCTATGATGCTGTAGTTAAAGGCTTCTGAACGTTTATGCAGGGGGAAGGTATTGGACCTGGCACCAACAACCCTTTGGCAAACGGATGAAAGTGGGTGGGGTTGAGCGGAGTGCGCGTTGCTTTGTGAGACAATATTATGTATGTGTATGGAAAAAGAATATTGCTACCCTTGTGTGTTACCTGATGATTAATTGCGTGCGTATCGGCGCTTCACATATAAAAAGGATCTTTTGACTAGGGAGTATATTGTCTTTCACATACTAAATCTAAGGTGTCTTGAATGTGGAGATGCTCTAATATACGCCGAGTGGCCTTTGTCGATCAATCCTCGGCATATGAGTGTCTCTGGACCGGAGATGCCTAGTTAGAATTGTGGACTTTGTGTCAGTGGCGATATTAATGTCTTCGAATCTGACTGCTATGTCACTGCTGATCCATGGAGCAATTTTATCCTGTAGCTCATGCAGAAGGGTACCGTAGAAGGAAGCAAAAAAGAATGGAGTCATCATACGAGTGAATGTTGCAGATTTTTGAAACAGCATATCATCGACCGGTAGTGGATTGGTGTTTCTGCAGTGTGTCTCAGTTTAGGTTCTTGTTTCCTTCTTCCCTTTTAACTACCATGGCCAGATTTCCATGGTCTACTTTTCTTTTACTCGCTTTCATATGCACAGCTTCGTAAATCTGCAACTGTATACACCATCTCGACGACCAACATGGCTACCTCTATGGATCTCTCAGAGACCCGCCAGCCTTCGCTATACGCCTCGTCTACCATTCCCTTCGTCTTCGCAGTAGCATGTGTTGGCTCAAGGTTCTGGTGTCGGTGGACCAACAAGGCTGGGTTTTGGCTTGACGATTGGCTCATTCTCTTCGCACTCGTAAGCATAAACACTCCCCGTTCTTTTACCACTAACTAGTTGCTGAACCTGCAGTAAGATATGTGCTATTGGACTCACAACCAACATGCTCTGGTGTAAGCGAATCTGCATGAGCTTCAAGATCAGGTTATGAGGCTAATACAATCTAGGGATACCACGCGGGCTCGGCAAACACGTTCTGGTCTTTGGTCCCCATGTTGCTGAGCTCTTCAACACTGGTCTCTTCACGGCCGAGATGACCTATACTGGTGTTATCATTTCTGTTAAGTTCTCCATTGCTGCTCTGTACCAGCGCATATTCAGGACCGAGAATATCAAACTCCCCATCATCATCCTGAGCGCGTTGGTAGCGATGTGGGGTATCGCCGTGGTACAGTTTCACCCCTCTTTTGCCTCATGCTTATCTGCCCAAACAGTTCCACTAATATTGTGGCAGTTTCTCCTTACTCTAATGCAATGCATACCAACCCGAGGCTTCTGGGACAAGACGATTGAGCGGTCTTGTAATGTCGATTCCAACAAGTTTCTCTTCGCTATCTCCATCCCAAACATACTCATCGATGTCGCTCTTCTTCTGTTGCCGGTTCCTTTCGTGCTCAAGCTCCATGTCTCGAAAGACCGGAAGGTTAGCATAATGTCCATGTTCCTACTTGGTGGCTTGTATGTACTCCTGGGTTGGTGTAATTTCTACTCAAATGCCAGGGAGGCTGACTGAGAGTAGTGTTTGTGTTGCCTCTATCATGCGCCTCCTCGCCGTCGTCAATGAAGACCTTGAAGTGGACCCAACATGGAATCTCGTTGATCAAGGCATTTGGGCCAAGATGGAGGCCGATTTTGCCATTATTTCAGGTATACTTGCAATTTCTGTCTTCTTCATTGGCGGATTCTCACTGTATCCTCCCTCATTTTAGCATGTCTCCCGACGCTCCGACCTTTGTACGTAGCGATCCGAACCAAACTTTTCGGCACTGTTCTTTCTCATGGGCCATCGTGCCCACAAGAAGGCGGCAGCGTGCCAAGAAAGAAGCGAGCATTGCAGTCTTGGGGCATGTCCGCCCTTCAGTCGAGAGATGAGGACACAACACTCTTTCCACGGGTCGACAAGACAGATGAAACCGACTCACACGATGCATCCTTGAGCGACACGCAAAAGGCCACAGTGGTGGGCAATACCTCTCTTAGATGTTCATGCGCCTAAAGACTAAGAACCGAGTGTGAGGGTAGAAACTGCGTGGGACGTAGTGTATGGGCGGAATGTTCGTGAGGGCAATGTTATTATGCCATGAAGCGGTCTCTAATAGTATCCTCACATTGTATGCTTTGTAATTATCTGTACTCTAACCGCATCAACCATAGGTTTGAGGCATCTACCGTTTGTTTGCTGAGTGTTATAATTCTGGAGCAGTTTGTATGTGAATGCCGAGGTGCTTGATGCTACGAATGAAAGAACCGGCCACGGAATCAGGGCCAAGCTTGAGCAAAGAGCCAGCGAGAGCCTGTCCGATGCTTCCCAGGCTTTCTCTATCCTCTCCTTTCCCTCCTTATGGCTTGTGGCCGTAATTATCAGTCACTCCTTAGTATCCAAGGCCACTGTTACTGGCTCACATCTAGCTATTTTTATCCCTCGGGATAGTCATTGCTCAGCACCTGTAAAATTCCCTTCAAACTCTATTATAATCAGGTCCAATATCTTTCAGAACAGCTTCCAGACCCTGAGTTATAGTATCTATCTTCTTTATAATCATACAGCTTTAAGATATTAATATAAGTTATTATAAGCTTATAGAGAATATAGTTAGAATAAGTAAAAAAAAGAAATTAGTTATCCCTATTATGAAATTTATAGAGTTACTATTATATATTTCTAAGTTTAAATATATATCTATATAATAAATTATATATTAATAGACTTAATAGTATATTAATAAGTTTAATAGTATATTAATAGATTTAATAGTATATTAATAGACTTAATAGTATATTAATAGATTTAATAATATATTAATAGATTTAATAGTATATTAATAGATTTAATAGTATATTAATAGTTTTAATAATATATTAATAGATCTAGTAGTATATTAATAAGTTTAGTAGTATATCTATAGACTTAAATATATATCTATATATTTTCTATTTATAATTTATTAATTTTATAAATTCTATAGATAAAAAATACTTCCTACCCCCTGGAAAATTATTTATCTCTTTTAATTCTTTTCTAAGTTTAACTAAAGATCTTTATATCCTAAGTTAATAAACTATTTCTCTTCTAGCTAGAAGTTTAAATACTATCTATATTAGTAGGCTTTATACTACTAGCTCTAACTAAACTATTTTTAACTTTACTATTTTCTATTTTAGTATCTCTAGTATTAATTACTTTACTTTTACTAGCTTTAGTTAGGTTATCTTTAGTACTACTATCTCTAACTTTAATATTACTAGTACTATTTACTTTAGTCTGCTTATTCTTTATTCTAAGATCTCTAGTCTCTTCTACTTTAACTTTATTACTATTAATCTACTATTACTCTCTATAAATATTAGTAGCTCTTTAATATACTCTAGATTATCAGATTCCAGTAGTAATTTTATAAGCTCTAAATTAGAATTTCTATATAGAAATATAATTTCTTTTAGATTTTTAAAGCTAGAGATAAATCTTAGAAAGTCTTTTTTTACTATTTCTAAGACTATATCTAGACTTTATTAATTAGATAACTACTTTTATATAATATATAAATCCCTATATAAATCTAGTTTACTATTAATAGTATAAAGCCTTCTTAAACTACTCTATATCTATACTCTATAGTTTATATCTATTAGTTAAAATATAGTTTTAATAGAACTTTTAAGTTTTAATTAAGAGAGTAGATTTTAATTAATTATAAACTAAAAATTAAGAAATATTTATATTAAAGAAGAGATAAGCTACTATTTAGAATTCTTAATCTAATAACTATAATTAGCTTAATTTAAGTTAATCCCTCTATTTATATAGATCTAGAAGAGATAATATAAACTGATTATAATAGCTATTACTAGTAGGGTAATTATCTAATATAGCTAGAAGCTTACTCTTATTAATAATAGCTTTAAATCTAAACTATAGTTAAATATTAGTAATATAAAAAAGGTCTGAGGAGTAGATAAATTATATTAGTATCTAGATACTCTATAGTAATATAACTAAGGGGAATCTAGAGCTTATTATAAGGAAGGTTCTAGATAAGAATACTATTATTAGTATAGTAATTACCTTTATAGCTGAACTATTATATTTAGATACTTATATACTTAAGTCTGAAAGTATTACTATTTTCTACTAGGTTTTAGCTTCTCTTTAGATAAAATAGTTATAGATCTAAAAATAGAGCTATTAGTCTATTATCTCTGAGATTAATAGTTCTATAGTTAAAAAGTAAATATATAGCTATTTATTATACTTATATATATTTCTTTATTATATAGTATAACTAAGTATATATAAATAGGTATTAGATTAATATTAAATCTATATTATTCCTAATAAAAATTTCCTATAGTAGTAAATATATACTATACTTATAGAGGTAAATTAATATATAATCTTAAAAGTAACTAACTTTTTTATTTCTAAATATATATAATTCTAGATTAAACTAAAATAAACTCTAATATACCCTAATCTAAACTATACTATTCTAAAATAGAAAAAGCTTAATTTTAATTAACTCTTAAAGGCTATCTCTATCCTAATTAGTTTAAAATAGTATAGAATATATTAGAACTATAAAAAAAATCTTAGATTATAATATATATAAATAAGCAGGTAGCTATAATTAAGATATAGCTTTTAATCCAGTTATATCTTATTTACTTTAAGTACTAATAATATATAGCAGCTGTAGGCTATATAATATAAGAATAGACCTAGTAGGTATAGCTACTGGATCTGGGGTATTATTAGTAGCTTTATTACTATAAGTAAGCCCTTAACTATTCAGAGAGGTATATATTAGATATACTCAGTTAAGAGCTATATATTATTATCTCTTATAATCTCTATTATCTTATTAAGGTCTATATTATTTATAGTAACTAAAGCTCTATAAGTAGGGATAATTATAGAAGATAATATATTATAAATACTTAGTATTAATAGTAAGATATAATTAATTAATTAATTAATTAAGATAAGATATAATTAATTAATTAATTAATTAAGATAAGCTTTAAGTTAGAAAG